TGGCTTCTCTGATCTAGCATGTTTTCACCCCAACATCTGACTCCCGAGTCTTTGTTGGTAAATAGAATCATAGAAACCTAGTTAAAACCCACATTTGGTGGTGGCAGCTGAACCAGTGCCAATGGGACTGGAAATCCCGCTAGGCCGAGGTCTGAGCACCTGAGAGCTGACTGCAGGACCGTGGGGTGCAAAAGGTAGTTAAAATATCAGTAGATTCAGGTGTGGCTGATAAGCCAACAGAAAAACAACACTTGGTAGTCAAGAACACTTGTTCCTCTTCCAGAGAACCCAGACTTGATTTCTAGCACCCAAATGGCAGGTATGTGGTAGATTGAATGTAATTGGCCCCCATGATCTCATAGGGAGTGGCACTATTAGGAGGTGTGGCTTTGTTGGAGTAGGCATGGCTTTGTTGGAGGAGGTGTGTCCCTGTGGGAGTGGGCTTTGAGGTTTCCAATGGTCAGGATGCTGGCCATGTCTCAGGTGACTTCCTGTTGCCTGCAAGATATAGGACTCTCAGCTACTTCTCCAGCACCATGTCTGCCTGCATGCTGCCATGTCCCATCATGATGATAATGGACTAAACCTCTGAAACTGTAAGCCACCCAATTAAATGTTTCCCTTATAAGAGTTGCAATGGTCTTGATGTCTCTTCACAGCAATAGAAACCTTAACTAAGAGAGGTGGCACATTTTTTTTTTTTTTAAATTCCAGAACTCAGAAAGCAGAAGCAGAATCTCTGAGTTCAAGGCTAGCCTGGTCTACAGAATGAGTTCCAGGACAGCCAGAAGCTGTTACACAGAGAAACCCTGTCTCAGGAAACAAAAACAACAACAACAACAAAAAGAGAGAGACTATTCACTGTGTGCTAAAGGAAATATGCTTTATGCCTTCTCTCTGGCATATCTGAATTGCTGTCAGGATTATTCTCCAATAAGGACCATTATTTAGTGAAATGCAGGTTCCTTGAAAACAAACACCATGATTCCATGATGGTTGATCTCATAACCAAGATGGCCATTAAGAAACCAATGGGTGCCGCGCGGTGGTGGCGCATGACTTTAATTCCAGCACTTGGGAGGCAGAGCCAGGCAGATCTCTGTAAATTCGAGGCCAGCCTGGGCTACAGAGTGAGTTCCAGGACAGCCACCAAAACTACACAGAGAAAAACCAAAATAAAACAAAACAAAACAAAACAAAACCAAAACCAAGCAAACCAGTGGGTGATTGGGAAGATGGCTCAGTGGTTAAGAAAGAGTGCTTGTTGCTCTTGCAGAGGACCTGAGTTTAGCTCCCAGCACCCACAGTGGATGACTGACAACTTCCTGTAACTCTCCTCTGGCCTCCACAGGCACGTGCACACAAATGTGCATACATACAAATAAAAATAAATCTTAAAAAAGAGAGACCAGTGAGTGAGTAGCAAATACAACGTGGGAAATCTGGACAAATGCAGGAATCGCCCTGGGAGGGTCAGAGCAGGGTGGCAAGAAGTCAGCATGCTACCCAGACTGGTTCACAGTTTGAAAGTTCTAATTTATAAAAATTCATATTTAATATTTTGGGCTTTGGTTGGCTGTTAGTAACTGATATAATGAAAAGAGAAACCACAGATAAAGGGGAATTACTATAATGTGATGTAAGTATCTTTTTATTTATTTTATTTTTAATTGTGTGTGTATATATGTGTGTGTGCATGCATGGGCATGCATGTAGGTGTTTGTGGAGGTTAGCAGAGGATCTCAAATTCCTTGGAGTTAGAGTTATAGACATTTGTGAATTGTCCAGTCTGAACCCTGGGAACCAAGTGCAGGTCTCTGCCATAGCAGCAAGTGCTTTTAACCACTGAGCCATCTCTCCAGCCCCAGAGCCCCATCTTTTAAAGATTCACTTCAGTTACTATTTAAAAAGTGTACTCAGGCCAGAGACATGCTCACTGGGTGCAGGGACCTGCTGCCAATCCTGAGGGTTTGAGTTTGAATCCCAGGACCCATACAGTGGAAGGAGAGAACCAATTGCAAGTTGTCTGATCTCAGTACATGCTCTCTTTCCCCTCTTCCTCTCCCCACCTTTTAAAAGAAATAGAAGATACACTTAGCAACTTGAATGGACGCAGGTGGCCAGTTAAGGAGCCTCTCCATCCACGGCTGTGGAAACAGTCCAGATGTGAGAGGTAGGCTGGTGTGGTACAGGGAACATGAACAAAACGGCTGGATGTCGGGTGCACCTTTGAGGCTTGCTGATGGATTGGATATGGGAAATTCAAGGGTGACTCAGAAGGCTTTGATATGAACAACTGATTGGGCCATCGATTCAGACAGGGATGGAGAGGGAGGGGCAGGTTCCTAGAGGAAAACATGGGAGTTCTCTTTTGGTGAGGTCAAATTCAGGATGGTAAGATAGGTTGCCAAATGCAATTGTGAAGCTAATAGTTCAGTATATGAATTTGGAATTTCCCAGTAATACCAGAGCAGCATTTTGATGTGTGGGCATTTTTTTTTTTTTTTTTTTTTTTTTTTTTAAAGATTTATTTATTATGTATACAGTGTTCTGTCTGCACATATCCCTGCAGGCCAGAAGAGGGCGCCAGATCTCATTACAGATGGTTATGAGCCACCATGTGGTTGCTGGGAATTGAACTCAGGACCTTTGGAAGAGCAGTCAGTGCTCTTAACCTCTGAGCCATATCTCCAGCCCGGTGTGTGGGCATTTTGGACCACAGGGAATTATGTGGCAGATAACGTGGTGTAGGTACAGAAGCTGGGATGCGGCTGAGTTGTCAGTGTCCTCTTAACATGTAGGAAGCCCTAGGTTTGACCCTCACATCACACATAACAAGGCATGTAGTGCATAGAGGCAGGAGGGTCATAATTTCGAGGTCATTCTTGGCTGCATATTGAAGAGGTGGCCAGCCTGGGCTAATGTGAGACCCTTTATGTTCAGTACCCTTCCCCAACAACTCTCTCTCTCATCTACACAATCACAAAACAGAAAAACACAACCAATCAGTCTAGTTTTTAGCATATGGATGATTGTTTTTTTCCAATATGGAAAAGATAACTAATGCTTTCCCTAATACAGTGGGTCTGTCATTGCAGGCTTGTTTGAGTACGTTTTTACCATTCATTAAAAAAATGCAAAGCTGGGCTGGAGGAACAACTCAGCTGTTAACAGAGTTTTACTGCTCTTTCAGAAGACCTGAGTTCAGTTCCCTGCACCCATTGGGGGTGGGGCAGTCACAATCATCTTTAGTCCCAGCTCCAGGGGATCGATCCTATGCCCTCTTCTGGCTTGCTTGGGCACACACAGACCCACACACAGACACATACATATATACACATGATTAAAAATAAAATAAACGCACTCCTTTAATCCCAGCACTCAGGAGGCAGAGGCAGGCAGATCTCTGGGAGTTCGAGGCCAGTCTGGTCTACAGAGCGAGTTCCAGGACAGCCAGTGAGACCCTGTCTCAAAAATACCACCACCACCACCAGCACTACCACATCACTACCAATAATAATAATAATAATAATAATAATAATAATAATAATAATAATATAATAAAATCATGGGACTGGAGAGGTGACTCAGCAGCTAAGAGCACTTGTTGCTCTTATAAAGGATTCAAGTTCGGTTCCAACCACCCACAAGGTAGCTCATAACCATTCCTAACTCCAGTTCTAGGGGATCTGACAGTTTCTTCTAACTTGCTAGCATACACACTGAGCACATACATACATGCAGGCAAACATACACAATAAAATAATGAAGTAAAGAAGAAAAGTCACAGAGGGATGGAGAACTTGAGGTCATCTGGGGGTTACCCAAGGAGAGGGGAAAGACGAAAGGGCAAAGGTCGTGCAGGTCTGTGGTGTCAGCCACTCTGGAGGCTGAGAATCCCCGGCTCAAAAACAAAGCCGCAGCAGTAACAAACTATACAAATCTTGGAGGAGTCTAACGCTGTCACTTTCATGAGGGTAAACTGAGGCTCAGACAAGTGAAATGACCCAGGCTTCTGGGTGCCACCTTCCTCCTCTCTTCCCTTGCCGAGGGCAGGGCCTCTCTCTGAGCTGTGACTAGCTTTCCCAGGCTTGCCTGGAGCCCTGTTACTCTCCCAAGCCATGGTTGTGTAATGAGGAATGTGGAATCTGAAATGGAGGAACCAGCTGTGTGTGTGGTGTGTGATGTGTGTGTGTGACAAGAGCAGAGACGGGTGGGAGGATTGTTGCAGGTAACCCTCGCAGGGGGAGCCGAAGGAGGTAGGACGGCTGAGGACCCTTCAGGAAGCAGGTCACCAACAGCTCTCCCACCTGCAGCTGCTCTGTGGGTCCTCCTCTGCTTGGAGATAGCTGTCTGTGTGTTGTGGGGGACTGCTGTCAATTCAGACTTCAGCTTTTTTCTGCCGGTTAATCCGTTCATCGATAAAGATGCGCGGGAGCTGGAGGACAGAGGTGTCCAGGCTCTGGGGTCCGGGGGCTACCCACTCACTCAGGGGTCTCAGAAGAGCATGCATCCCGCAGCGTAGCCTCCACAGTTTGGGGTAGGCATCAAGTAGGATGGCTACGGGTCATCCCAAAGTCCGCAGCCAAGTGGGCCGCAGTCCAATCCCACCAGCTCCGAGCGCGCGCCCCGCCTAGCCCTAGGAGCCGGTGCAGCACGCGCGCTGTCTCCCGAGGGCGCGGGCTGGGGGCGGAGCCTCGGTGTTGTTGTTCCTCTTCGGCCCCGCCCCCGAGGGGGGCGCGGACCACGCGGCCGGAGGGCCCGCCTCCCCTCCCCCTCCCCGCCCAGCTCGCCCGCCTCTTTGTATCCAACATCCGGGTTTCCCCGCTGGCTCGGCTCCGTGGCCACCGCTCAGGAGCCATTTTGGACTCGGTTCAGCTCCCCTCCCCCACCCCCCCCGTTCATGGCCCCTCCGGACTCGGCCCCTGAGCCCGGGGCCCGGGCCCAGCCCCGTTGCGCCATGCCCGCGTCGGGCGCGCCCTGGCCCGCGCCCCGCCGCCGCCCCCCGGCCCCCGCGTCGCCCCATAGCCCCGGCCGCACTGCGCGCCGCCCGCAGCGACCCTGAGCCCCCGTCCCCGCACGCTGCCTGGGAACCGAAGCGCAGAAGCGAGCGCGCCTGGAAGCGCGACCCAGAGAAGGAGCGGGAAGCAGAGCGCAGCCGCCGCCGCCGCCGCCGCCGCCGCCGGGCCCTGCGCGCCCCGGGAGCGCAGCGCGGCCCTGCCCGCGGGCTCCGGGTGTCCGCGGGGCGGCGCCGCGGAACATGACGGCGCCCTGGGCGGCCCTCGCCCTTCTCTGGGGATCGCTGTGCGCCGGTAAGGACCCGGCGCGGCGTAGGGGTGCGGGGACCCGGGGCGCGCGGTGTTTACCAACAAAGGGCGGCCCCGCGGCCTCGGCGCCGCGCCACCTGCCTGGGATCGGGGTCGTGCGGGGCGCTCTGTTTGCGATCGTAAAGACAAGCTCGCCGGTGCGGTTCCTCTGCGCGATTCTGGCTCGCGGAGGCGCTCGGTGATGGGGGAACCTGGAGCGTCAGGGTCGGAGTTCAGGTTCTGCGACTCGCGGACCCCAGGAACCGAGCGAGGAAAACCTGAGCGTGGGGAAGGCGGCCAGGCTGGGCGGGCATCTAATCGGGGGTGGCTGGGATGGGGCTGCGCACCCCTGAGAGCCATAGGTGTCGCAAAGCAAAGCAGACGGCTTTCCACACAGCCCGTTCGGAGCCCTCTGCACTCCGTCCGGCCACTCTGCGTCGCGATCCTCGCGCGAGTGGCTCCTACCTGCGCCCGCTTTCCTTGCCGCGGGCTACAGATGCGCCCTCGTGGGACCGCTTTTGTTTTGGGCTACTGGGAGTGGAGAGGAGGTTGAGGAGGCGAACCAACAGGTCTCAGATCGCTCCAGTCGGCACGTGGCGGGCGTGAGTGACCCGCGCTCAGCCCGCAGGCGGCTGCGGGATGTGCGTAACTGGTGCGCGTCTGCTTGGGGACTGGGACGTGTGGGTGTGTATGCGCGAAGTTGTGCTGGGAAAGCGCCTAAAGCTCAGGCACGGATCTCTCTGTCCCGGTGGTGCTGAAGCGTGCCTAACTCTGTTAGGAGCTCCAGGACGGGCTTGGGGCAGCCCTGGGAAACGTGGACAGTCGGGCATTGAGACTCGAGAGAAAAGATCGTAGCGCTTGGGACGGCTGGTGCCCGGTGGCCGGGGCTCTGGGTCCTGCGCGTCTTTGTTCCCAACCCCCATTACACATGCAGCTCGGGTCCCCTGCCGCCCGAGGTGGCAGCAGCGCAGAGTCTGGTAAACCCGCGAGGGGCGGGGCCCGGAGTGCAGGGGAGGGGCTGGGATCCCCCATGTTACTGCGGGGGTGGGTATCCCAGATGGCCATTGCACGCCCCACTGGGATCCCCACCCTCAATCTGCTCCCTTCTATTGCAAGGTAGTGAGGCTGCAATTAATTCCGACCCTGAGAGTTTTTGCACGAATCTGGGTGAGGTGGAATGTGAGTGCGCGGACTAGAGGGCAGAGACCACTTCTTTGCTATGGTTGGGAAGCAGTTTCGATGCTGTCCTGGAGTGGTCGAGGCCAAGCGGTGCTCAGGTTGAACATTGTTTCTTTCTGCCATTCACTGAAGTGATGTTGCTTTTGATGTTTTCCCCAAGCATGAGGGCTTGGGAGTGATGGAAAGCTTTGGCCTGCTTTGGGGAGGGCAGCAGTGGGCTGATCCAAGGGTACATGGCAGTCCCCTAGCTGCCTCTTGACCGCCTGGATGTCTACTTCTGATCTGCCTGTCCCTTTCTAGTCCAGGCCTGTTGGAAGCGTGCTCTCAGGACAGTAAGCCTCAGACTTGGAATCTGGGTATCACTGCCCCAGTTTGTTCCAGTTTGGCTTCACCAGTTGCTTCCCGTCTGGGCACGGGGTGAGAGTGGTTCCCGGGTACTGTGTCCGCTGCTTCTTTGCGCTGTTTGGGGAATATATAGCAGAATACACTGACAGGCATCTGTTCTGACGCAGAATCTGTGCTTCCTGCCCCGGGCAAAGTACAGTCACCTGTTGTTTCTTGTCACACCTCAAGGTGGCCACTGCTCTTGAGGAACTAGAGGAGCGCTTCCCTGGTTCCTGGTTGGGGCATACCTGGCCTCTGGCTTCAAAATGGTCTCTTCTTCATGTTCCTGGCTCGGTCTTCAGAATTACTCAACCCCGTGGTAAAAAGAAGAGATCTATCCTAGTGCTGCCGACAGGAACATAGGAACATGGGCAGATGTGTTTAACTTTAGAATTCCCGATAGTCATGTCAGTAAAAGGAAAGAGAACAGTTGTGTCTTAGTGTGTTTCGGCTGGCCTCGTACCGCAGGACTGCGTGAGTCAGGCAGCAGTATTGGGGCTGGAGAGGTAGCCAGGTGGTTCAGAGTGCCTGCTGCTGTTGTAGAGGACCCAGGTTCCAATCCTGACACCCACATGGTCACTCATGACAATCACCTGGAACTCCACTTCCAGGAAGATCCATGTTCTCTGGCCCCTTAGAGCATCATGCATACGCATGGTGCACAGATAACTGCAGACCTAACTCATAAATAAAGTTAAAATAGCCATATATAGATATATATGTTTAAATATATATGTATATACACATATATAAATTTATATTAAAAAATCAGCAGTGCTTATTTTTACATGATTCTAGAAGCCAGACTGGGGTGCTGGGATGGTCAGGTCTGCCCTAAGAGAGCCAATCCTACAATGAGGATCCCACCCTCATGGTCTAATCCAACCTTCACTGCTTCCTGGAGGTTCCACTTCCAAAGACCATTACATTATTGGTGGTCTTTTTCATAATTAATGGAATTAAGTTAACGTAAAGATTGGTCATTTCAACATATAATCACTATTAAAACAGTTAGTTGCTGAGACATGACAAAATTTTTAACTTCAGTTCTCTGTAGTCACATTTGGCTGGCCGCTGGCGTTTTGGACAGCACAGGCTGAGAAGGAAGGCGGCTCCACCACTGGGTACGTCTGGACGTCTTTCCAGATCTGCCTGGCCCGGCTGTCCTTGCGAGGCTGGCATTTGGCTCTTGCATTGCAGAGAACATCTGCATATTCTATTCTCTGACATCTGTTTCTGTTCTTGGGGTTCGGCGTGGAGGGCTTCAAGGTGGAGCGGAGCAGAAGAGCAGGAGCCAGGGGCTAAGAAGGGTCTTATCAGGTACCCACTGCCCCAGACGTCCTCATAGGCTGACGGCAGACACAGAGATGTTTCTTGTCCATTTCCTTGTGGGTGGAGGTGTGTATGAGAGAGTAACCTTTAGTCTTCTGGTCCATTGTAGTGGGAGAGGCCAAGGACAAGGGCTACAGTGTTATGGAAGTCTATCCCCAGAGAGGATGTCCCCTGCTCTCTGTCCTATCTGTGACCATTCGAGGCTGCCTGCCTATCAGGTGGGGATGCCCTTTGGAAGGAGTAGGTACCCTCCTCAGCATTCAGAGGCTTTCCATGCAGATGTGACTCTCTCAGACCCTACAGCTGGGTGAAGTCTTAAGACCTGGAACCCTTTGACTGAGTCCTATTTAGGTAGGCTTTGGTAGTCCTCTGCTGCTCTTTCTGGTACCCAGAGTCCTCCAGGCCTCTGCACTTGCCCTGGCAGTTCCCCAAGGCCCCTCATTTGCTGGGGGCTTAGGGGAAAGCCCCGTTGTCTTTTGTCACGCTGCTCTTAAAATCTAAGAAAACTGGCCGGGCGGTGGTGGCGCACGCCTTTAATCCCAGCACTCGGGAGGCAGAGCCAGGTGGATCTCTGTGAGTTCGAGGCCAGCCTGGGCTACCAAGTGAGTTCCAGGAAAGGCGCAAAGCTACACAGAGAAACCCTGTCTCGAAAAACAAACAAACAAAAAAATCTAAGAAAACTGAACTCCAGAAAATATAAATCAGTGCCTACGTGGGTACTTGGACACCTTGTATGTGTGTACTATCCTACTCCCTTTCTGGGCTCCCTAAAATCCTGACTGCCCTGCGGTCAGCTCTCCTGCGGGACAGTCTGTCTGTAGAAGGGTGCCTGCATTGGACTGATTTCTCTTGGTATCCCTGCTTACCCTGTTCTGGTCTGTGGACATGCCCTTGCCTTTACTTCTGCTACTTGTGGCTCTGCCCATCGCTCAGTCTCCATGGTTTCTTCCCCACTCCGGAAGCCATCCCTGAGTTCCTATGTATTCAGCCTCCCTACCTGGGAGGTCAGTAGTGCAGGTGGGATCCACAGGGTGTCAGAGCCTGAGTTCAGAGCCACTCACAGATGCTAACTATTACTGTGGACTGGGATGCAGTGGATGAGGGTTAAGAGCCAATCTGGATCATTCAGGACCATTCATATTCATCCATACCCCCCATGCGTGTGTGTGTGTGTGTGTGTGTGTGTGTGTGTGTGTGTGTGTGTGTGTGTGTAAAACACCTGTGCATGTGGGTGCATGTCAAGGCCAAAGTCACCATTAAACATCTTCTACAATTACTCTCCACTTCGATTTTTTCTGTCTTTTAAAAGCATTTCATTTCAGTTTATGGGCATGTACCACAGCTCAGTGCATATGTGGAGGTCAGAGGACAGCTTGGTTCTCCACAGTGGGTCCTGGGACTCATACTTTGGTTGCTGGACTTGGCAGCAGGCGAGCTTTACTGCTGAGACATCTCACTGGCCCCCACTTGGTTTTTAAGATGGGGTCTCTCTGACCCTGGAACTCACCCTTGAAGCAAGGATTCCAAATGCTTGCTCCACTGCCTGGCTTTTTGTGGGTGCTGGGTATCTGAATGGTCCTTATGCTTGTATGGCAAACACTTTCCCGGCTGAGTTGTCTCCTAGCCCTCTAGCCACACTTTAGGAGACAGTCTGGGTAGACAGTCCTAGATGCATGGGCCTCTCTAGAACAGAGTTTCCCAGACTTCGACACCATTGGCATTTGTATCTGTGGATTCTCTGTTTATGTTGGGGGTGGTGGTGGTGGTGGTGGTGATGGTGGTGGTGGTGGTGGTGATGGGGCTGGCCTGTGCATTGAAGGTGTGGCTTAGCTGCATCTCTGGCCTCTGCTGGTCAATTCCAGTATCTCATCTCTAATCATGGTGAGTGAACGTGATTCCTGGCATCGCTAAGTGCTAGAGGCAAAATCATACTTAGGTAGGTTGAGAACCAGAGGTAGACAGTTGTGGGAGATGGGGGGGTTAATGGTTAAATAGTGTTCATTCATCTTCTCCCTCTGGAGTCAGGGTAGGGAGCTGAATTCTCCTTCATAGGCAATTCCTGCTCGGTGGAGCCTGTTTGAGTGTGCCTTTGGTTCAGAATCAATGGTTCC